GCCACAATCTATGATTTACAAAAAATGGTTGAGCAGTATCTGGCAGGCTGTGCTATCCTCGGGGGTGGACATCCGGGCATTTTCACCTCCTGGCAACCCGCGGCGGTGAAAACAAAGGCCCAAAACTCGCAGAAAACGATACTTTGGGATGATTGTTGAGACTCTTCTGAACAGTGTAACACGATTAGCCCTACGTATGTAACATATATAAATTTGGTTGTTCGGGATTACTTCAAAGTTGAGTTTGTGTTGTTTTCTCGAATTTTCACCGACTCGACCGTCGTTCCACAGCAGCGCGCACAGAGCCCATAGAAATGCATGTACAGTGGTGCGCGTCGTAGCAACGTGGAACGTCTTGTGACGTAGCTCCGCCCCCGAGGATTCTCTGTAAAACTCATCCCAACAATATATCATGATAGCGCCCTCAACAGTTAACTTGAGTCTGTAATCACTCAAGAATGGCGTACATCAATAAATCATTTGCGCTAGTTTCAAATCAAATGTTCATCTGTCACACAGTGGTATGGTCGATTTACATTTGGAGGACAAGTTTAGTTGGTACGTAATTATTGCACCAGTGGCTATCCTCGGAGGCGGACATCCGGGCATTTTCACCGCCTGGCAACGCTCGCGGTGAAAACAAAGGCCCAAAACTCGCAGAAAACGGTACTTTGGGATGATTGTTGAGACTCCCCTGAACAGTGTAACAAGATTTGCCCTATGTGTGTAACATGTATAAATTTGGTTGTTCAGGATTACTTCAAAGTTGAGTTTGTGTTATTTTCTCTAATTTTCACCGGCTCGACCAGCGTTGCACAGCAGCGCGCACAGAGCCCATAGAAATGCATGTACAGTGGTGCGCGTCGTAGCAACGTGGAACGTCTTGTGACGTAGCTTCGCCCCCGAGGTATAACGTGATACTGAAAATGATCTGTTGGATACACACAAAACATTTTGTCACATTCACCATGATTGTTTTTGAAAGGTTTGAAAATTCACGTTTTTCATATTATGCGCCCTCGCAGAGATGAATTGTACGAGAGTAAACAGTTTTCGACAGCGCCACCGACAGTTTGATAACAGTAGCAACAACCAAAGCACATTACATTTCACATTTTGTTTAATATAGAAATAGAAACTTAGTTTACAAAATAAATAATCGAAATAGTGTCAATATTTCGACAAAATAATATAAACAACAATTTGTGATGGTAGCGTTGTCTTTTTTATATTATAATAATAATAACAATAATGAAAAAACACAAGTATTGCTGGAAATGACCTGAAGAGGGCGTAGTTTACATTTGGCCCAATGTCTTTTTTTTTTTAAATTGTACACAAATATTGAGCAAAATATACAAAACTGTAGCACACTGCCTGTATCACCATGGTTATAGACACATTGATGATTAAATAATTTAGAGATGTAACATGGACGAAAACATATTTTTTTCAATATGACTAGTTTTACAGTGTGGGACAAGTTTTACTGAAAAAAAGCATTAGTCACAAATGCCAATTTGATTGTGGTGGTGGCGTACATATAGTATTAGGTAATAAATTATAATAATAAACACACGTAATAACATTGCACACAGCAACATACACATTTAATTTAAAATACATAACGTTAGCATCTTCAAAAAGATTCGTCTTTGTCTTTATAATTTAATTTTTTCCATAATACTTGGATTTATTCAAGAACTGTTTGTCGCAGATAAAAAAAAAATAACTTAAGACAGTGAAGGGCTCGTGGTTTTGGTGATTTGGGCGATGACATCTGGTGGGTCATGGCATACGTAAATCAAATATATCGGCCCATCATCAACATACATACGTATATTGCAAATATTAAAGGGAAATATTAAAGTCACAGTAGCTGCAACCTTTTTCTTGCATTACGTATTGTTTCATCTTCAAGCAGATGACCCCTCCCCCCGCATCGACTGATCATTGAAATTGTTCTTAATGCTCGGTCATCGTTTTTTAGGTCGAGTCAAAAATTCGAATGTCGGTCGCTTGCAGTAAACAGACAACGTGGAAAACATTGTATCCCAAACAAAATCGACGAAAAGAATACTAAATCGTTGCTGCTACAGACGATTGAATTTATTTCAACTCAGCCATGATACAAACGAAATTGGATGTCCGTGATCTGAACATTCTACGAAATGTTGTGGATAAAATACTCCCAGTAATTAAGTCTAAATATCGCCTGAACCTCACAGGCATCCATTTCCAAAGCACCTGAACATTGGGAAAACATATACTATATAATGGTCATATAATGAAAACATCATGACGTGTTGGTCACTCCCAAACAATGATTGTCATGGAGTTTGCCCTCGAAGTACCGGGATTGTCCTTTTGATTGTGATTGTGCCTGGACGGACAAACCTGTGTTGTTGACCTCTTGAAAGATTGTGTTCAATGCTACACAAACCACCCGGGGTGTTGTGTGCTTTTTGTGGCTGTGTCTGTCCTTCCTGTTGTTGTTTTTGTTGTTGTTGTTGTTCGGGGTGCTGGTGAGGCAGTGTGGCTACGAACCGACCTTCGTCCACGTTTTGTCAGTTGTAGTAATATTCTGTTCCCATCATAGTCGGTAGTCTGCCACCGGCGTTTGCTGATTGGTGAACAAATATTCGGTAGCAAAGGAACAAGGCTGCCCACTTCGTTCACTTTGAATTGGAGTATGGCTGAATTTAGCACCCGAGGTTTGAATTTATTTGGCAGTTTTTTGAGTGATAATTGTACATCAAAATTTGGCTGTGAGTAGATTGTGAAGTAACAAAAGTCGTCCTTTCTTTCTTCTGCAACTTTCGCGAGAATAAGACTATAAAATTGGACCGTGTCCTCCCAGTTTTCTTCGCTGCAAAATATAACGAACCTAAGGTGTTCTTTCCCATAGTGCACTTGCCGAACTCCCCAAAGTGGCATGTCGTGGGAATGGCAATAAAAGTCTTGGTGGTTAGGCGGACACGTGGACATTTTACCATTTGGTGAAACACTGTGGTGGAATTTCCACGGTGGTCTTATAAGGTACTTTTGCGCCATACTCACTCTATCTACGAGCATTTCCTCTTGGAGAAACAACAAAATCGCCATGCAGGGGGTAAGTGTCATGGCTGCTTCTCCGTTTGTTAGTTTATGGTTTGTTTCAATCCCGTTTATTTCGTTGCGTTCCACAATGTTGAACAATTTGAATTCCGGGTCAATCCATTCCAGTAAAGGTTGGAATAAATCCTTGAGATTCAGAGCCTCTCCGGGATCGGTAATGAAGTGCATGCTGATAATAAATGGGTCCCCAAGTTCACCTTCAAAAGAGTCATCACCTGGGATTCGGGAAAAAATGACATTAGCAATATGGTATTGGTTACTTCAATATGATGGTGGTGTTGTTAAACATCAAAAACAAAAGGGAAACACTTTCTCTGCTGACATAAGTTCCCAAATAACTGTTTACCAAATGTATTTCTTAATTTCAGTCTAATAACGTATGAGTAGGCACAAATGTGTTATACATCTTTTAAAATTCGTAATCGCAACTTACGACATATCAACAATTTAAATTGGAAAGTCTATTCCGGGGGTTGCCATGGAAATTAATTTCTGTAATTGATATCGCTGAGTGTATATGTAAGGCACATCGTCGGCTTTATTCAAAGTGAATAATTTCCAATATCACAATTATACCTTGAGGGTATCCAGCGACACATAATGGAACCAGAGTATACACACAGTTTATATGCAAATATCAATGACGTCACCGCGGGAGGATTGAATTATGAAGGAGGTATTATTCCTGGGAATTAATGCCATGTCGTGTGAGCACAGCACATACAAGATAATATAGTGATCTTGAAGAAAATTAATTTAACACAGATCCCAAACGTACGAATATAGTGGCAATTTTGTAACGAACAAAATAACAGAATAACTGTTTATTATATCAATACATTCAGATGAACCAGTTGTATATACAGCTGTTTGACAACACATGTGTACAGTAATTCGTACAAAGGCTAAAAGGAACACATTTCAAGAATTTGTATTCAGTTTGTGTACACTCACCCATTCATTTAGTCTCAGTAATATTTAATTCAGTGTTGTGCCCAGTAATTGTGCGTTTATAGATATGTTAATAAAATATGAAGAAATGTCACAAGGGGGCAATTTGGGTATTTGTATTCATGTGTGTGTACTATACTACAGTGTTATATCTAATGGTATCTACAGAGACTGAAGTCGGCGTCATGAAATCGGTCGGGGCAGGACAGACCACATTGAAGCTATAACGTGTATTCTTATTAGTTAATAATGTTGATAATGGCAATGGAGATATGTTAACAATGCAACCGATTTTACATGAGGTTGTTTAAAGAAATAAACTATACCCAATACACCCTAACCTGTGATAAAACTTTTATTAATATACTATTATTAATTATTTCCCGTTCCAGGTATGCACAAATGTATGCACAAAATTTCAATGTTTTATTCGAAACCAGACCGCTTTTTTTCAACGTGTGTGATTGGTATGATTTATTACACATGTTCGTTGAATAAACTAAGTATTTCAAATACAAATTCTAACTTTATCGTCAAAGAGAAGCATATGCACTTCGTTAATTTGGAAAATTCACTGACGTCGTTCGGCATTGATGTGTAAGAGAAACGCCTTTGTTTAATTATTGGGTGAAGATTGCTTCTCTTCTATACAAGATTGACGATATGCATGTGTCGATTTCAACCCCTTATAAAAAAATTCAGCCAACAACGCTTTGAATATTGTATCCTCATGGTGGGAAGCTTCGCTAGCATCCGATTATAATGGTAAACGCATCTCTGAATTCTCCGTGTACGTTTTAGTAGCTCCGAGCAGAATGAGTTTTCGTGCTTTATCGTAAACGCGTGAGTAGTGCTTTCAGTACAGGTGTACTGTGAACAAACCCGAGCACTATAATACACAACGATATCATAGTACTCTTGTACCTTGACAACATAAACACGTGTGTATATTATAATGTGTTGTGTGTCAACGCGGAGGCAATCGTTCAATCTGGTTCGTGCTCATACTGTAAAATGACTAATTTTCACTGGGTTTAAATTTCACTGATTTACCATTTCGGGCATATTCAGTGGGTTTTAAATTCACGGTTTCGTCATTTAGATAATGTGTTCTATGCTAAATTTTACATATTCACTGTGTTTTAATTTAGCGCATTTTTCCAGTCAGCGAAATAAGCTAAATTAAAACCCAGTGAATAATTACCCCCTTTACAGTATTTTATTTATTTTTTCATAATATTGCTTTTAAGGATTCAGCAAAATGTATGAATACACGCAGAATCTAGGGGTATGTTGGTTTATTTTTACAGCGTGTATAGATCTTTCGGTGTCCCTGGATAGTCTCTATTATTATTGACGTATTGTTGTGGGTAACACATGTTAATACTAAAATACACGTGACTTGAAAGCAAAACAACATGGCGTATGTCGCGGTAAGACATTGATATAAATCTGATTGACTCTCGGTGCATGGAATTAACAACTCGTGTTATTTATTAACTGCTAACAGGAAGCGTCGTATAATGCGAAATTAAACACGAGTTCGTGTTCGTGAATTATTGATGGCACGAACAGTGCTCAATTTGCATTATATTATTGCTAGATGAAATCTTTTACTGTTCTAGATTGGGTTTTTAAATTATCATAACTGAGGCGGTTTTCATATAAATTGATGACTTTATGTTTACATAAGACGAGATTTGTCCTTGACGCTCAGAATACGAACATTGTTGGTTTGAACTTCACGGCAAGAATTACACCGATATCTAATGAGGTTATTATTTCATATAAAAGTGGAAATATTTAAAAAGAAATATTTATACCCCGAATAAAATATGAGAATCGTATTTGTTTTCATGTCAAAATAATCAAATATGTATCTGGGTATCAATAAAGGATTAGCGAGATTTGAACTTACTCGATGTCGATGTCATGCTCCCGAAAGGATCGATGGGAAACCTGGAAAATACGAGAAATGAAACGTTAGTTTCCATGCGTGTATCTGGCAGCAATTGAACATTAAAACTGACGCCATTAATATTGAAGCGAGTGGGTTGTCTCACCAATCTCAACTGCTGGAACGATGCAGTACTAGTCACAGTGCAAGGGATACCTGTGATTGATCGAATTTACGATCAATTCCGTGTGTATATTGCTTTACTAGTCAGTCCGCCCATGCGTGACGTGTATCGACGGCGGGATGACTAATAAGGTAAAATCAATAATAAACAGTATGCTTACTGCACATGCGTAATACGTCAGCGTTATTTAAACATTTCTATAGATCGAAGTGGTCATATTAATTAATTAATTAATTAATTAATTATTAATTAACTGGTTGTGGAACATGCCATACTATATAGATGCAAAACAATGTGCTCAGTAAGTATTGTCATTGCTAGTAGATATAACAATAACGTTATTCGTGTTAGTATATATAATGGATACCAATAGTGCATCTTTTCGATTCATCGATGTTTATGTATCAAGCGCTGACTGTCCCATAGATATTCGTCATACAAAGTGACGTCACAGTGGGTGCGCCCGTGTAAAAGTCGTGCCTGAATGCAAAATATATAAAATATGTCAACATCCTGCGATTTATTTACATTTCACGTTGAAATATATAAGCATAGCGGAAGTGTAATAATTGTTAATAATGGACTCGGTTGCTATTCTTGATGAGTCTTTTCCTGTAACAATATTTGACCTAATTTTGATTTATGGCCTGATAAACTTTGCAATTTGGTGTTTATTTCACCCATAGTAACCCGGACCACGATATGTGGATAGTAAGCTGCTGGGTAAAAAAAAATAATGAATGAAATATTACAAGGGTATACAAGACACAGTTAAAGCGAAGGAGTCTACAAACAAGCCTCTACCCATGAGCCTTTGCGTTTTTAGCGTGTGTTGTTGTTGTAGCTTGGGACTCAATTCCCGCGCGTACGCAGGTGATGACCCCCCCCCCCCCGTTTTAACAGTGGAGTGAAAAGATTGGTCATCATTACTCGTATGCAATAATATTGATATCAGCCATTTTTAGTGTCACTGTAACAGTCATCATGCACAATTCGTCCAGTCACTGTGGTATGGAGCGCATCAAGGAGAACGGCGACTTGGGGGTTTTGAAATCTTCAATTTTTTTTACCAATTTCCCAGGCAATAGTGGGTGCGCTTTATGATCTACGAACAATTTTGTATTTTCACGTACTAGTATATATTCAACGTTTAATTCCACAAAAATCGACGAAAACATACGTGTACCCGGATGTTGCACCACAGGGTGTACAAGTAGATTTGTATACTGGTATGCTGGAGTGAACAAATGGAGACCTACTGATTGTTACCCGTCCTTTGACTACATTTAGTTCTCTTGAAAATACACTCCTTCACAATCACTCCTTCACGCCTGTTCATGAATCAGTTTTCTTAAAGAATGTTATCTCTTTACTCGATGTTATCGTTGACTGTTTCTCAAATGTGTCGCCCGAGTTTTATACAATTTAACAATCTCTCTTTGGACCACAAATTTAATTCATACCCATGAACAAAATTGTCTCGCAGGTTTCGTGACATGACTTGTACATCCCCATAGAAGGCGAACACACTTGTCGGCCGTTTCCTTCTGTAGTGACACCTCTTCTTTTCTTACTTCTCCTTAACCCGTTCTTCTCCTCCTTCCAACCCCTCCCCCTTTCCTTCCCTCCTTCCTCCTCTTCTCAACCTCGACCCCTTCCCCTCCTCCTCCCCTCCTCTTCCTCTCCCTCTCCCTCCTCTTGTTATTACCTATCGCGTGGGTACGCGTGTCAGCTAGTATATACCATCCAGAGGGGCCCAATTGTACGATTCTCGCCATTTACAGGCGTAAGTAATACGTGTAAATGTTGCAACGATAAAACCGTCACGTAAAGTAACAGCCATTAAATAGGCGTAAACTGACACGTTGTTTGATTGATTGAGTAACAGGTCGTTAATGAGAAACTGAACAAGGCTTACGTACCGCATTGAATGGGATAGGTGTGATCAGAGAGGCTATTTGTCCTGACCGCTGACCTTTTTCACGCTCCGACGACTTTGCCTGCGGTAAGTTATGAACACCGCCAAAGCGTTTGACGTCGGTTAACTAGACCCCAATGTAATACTAAATCAAAATGTTTATGCTCTCTTTTTTCGGCGTGGTAGTCGCTGACTGCGCGTCTACACTTGTCGTCGAC